TCTGCATGAAAACTATTTTTTTTTTCCTCAACCAGATATTTTACAGCTGGATCACTTTTTCCATCACTTTCACACTGCACATTTCTCAAGACACTTGCCAGCACAGCTGAAGAGTCATTTCAGCAGCCTGCATTGCTCCTGCAGGAAGATACAGCCCTGTCAAATCCCAGTCCTGGAGGTCAGATCACCCAAAGCTTCACTGCTGAATCCAGCCAACTTCACTCAACTTCCAAGAGAAAAACCAAAAACTTCAAGGGACTGTAAAAATGAGATGAAAACGCCAAAGCAGAAGCATCTCTGAGATTCTGATCTTTACATTTTCTTCCAGCTTCATGGAGGCTTCCAAGGACAACAAAGAGAACAGCTCTTTGAAATCTTCCTTCCTGCCCACAGTTCACATAGCCACAAATCCAGCTCTTTGTGGTTTCTCCAGACTTAAAAATCTCTCAGTAAACCTGGCATGACTGTGTTATTTCACAAGTATTTAAAATATGCTGTATACAATAATTTTTTAATTAATACTGATGCATTTAGTGAAACAAAGAGCAACAAAAGCTGCCAACTACCCAGGAGACAATCTGTAGTCCTCTAAATGCTGAATGGTATTTTTACAACTGTAATTGCTACAACATAAATGAAAGCCCTGTCCTTGAAAGAACCAATAGCTTCAGGGTGAAATGTTTAAAAGAAACTCTGATGAAAGCCACTCCTGCCCTGTTTCAACACCTTCCATTGATCCTGCCCCCATACTGGTCACACTGAACTACAGCGCTGTTCCTGGTCTAGCTGATCACTCACAAAGGGGATGAGGAGGTTCAGGCAAACCATTTCCCAGCTCATAGCAGCAGCCTGCTACCCAAATCATGCCAAATCAACCAAAGAGGACAATGTTTGGTAGGGAAGAAGTAGCTAAAGCTGGGACTCCTTGTGTCAGCCCTAACAGCAAGGAAAAACAAATGGAAACACATAATAAATTAAGATGTCAAAATTCAGCTAAAGAAAGTTTCCAGGTTGCCTTATATTTTTTATTCTTCCCTTCTCTCTAAGAAATCAGTTCTTGAAAACACATGCAAATTATTTTATAGCTAATGTATTTATTCTTTACAGTTACTGAAATAATGCAATTAAAATTAGTCCCTATCTGAATAATCATAACTTGCAGACACAATAGCAAATGGACAGTGGCCTTCTCCAGAAGTATTTGTACAGAATGGTATTCCACTAGAACCTTGAACTCAGATAACAGGTACAGCTTTTGGGATGAAAAAGGGAAAAGTACAGCTTGGTCCAAGTGGAGTATTTCTTCTGCATATGGTACCTGATTTGAACAGCAGTCTATGTAAGAGCAGTGGCCATGCCAGACAGTCACTATTCTCAGAAGATACAGTAACAAAATGGAAGGGTCACTGAGCAGCTAACATTTCATTACATAAAGATGATAACTGAACATCTGCATCTGTCATTTCAGAATCACGTCCTTCACCAATGTCCTCTGCAGTCTCTGGCAATGTCTATTTTCTATTCTTTAATTATCCTCCTTTGCTATGTAGATTTCTGGAAATCTCAAGCACAAATCTTGCTATTCTAATCTCAAAGTGCCAAAGCAATAGTTAATGCCTTTGCAACACAATTAACATGGGAGACTCTCAAAGTTATTTAGCAGCTGCAAGTATCACACAAAGCAGCTGCCACCGCAGCAATGCAGGCACTGGGGGCTCCTGTACCACCTCCAGCAACGCTTTCCAATCAGTGAATCACACAAATAATGCCCGCCTGAAAATATATATATGTATATAATCAAAATAACTGGGTCAAATTCAGTACTTGGACAAGACAACTGAAGAACAAACACCACCCATTCTGAAGGGGAGAAAGCATTTTATTTCAGGCACTAGGTCACAGTTCCTCACAGAGCACAGAAAATAAAAGGTCACTGTGTCTTTCCAGGTATGTAGAAGCCAGCAAAGGCACTGAATTGCAATTTCCACTGAAACATATCCAATATGTCTGTGAGATACATAAATAATTGTATTTGCAAAACAAACATAACTTGTAAAAGAAGCCTACAGTTTCACTTTTAATTATGTAAGTAAATGAATCCTAAAATTATTAAAAATAATCAAAATATCTGAAAAATAATTACTTCATAAAATCTAGCAAAATGGTTATTTGCTCAATTGTTAAACCATAAACATTTTCATACAGGTTCAACTAAAAATACACATTTTAATAGCTGTGTGAATAAACTAATTATAACAAAAATAATATTACTAATTTAAATACCATTTCTTTCTGCAGATATCTGAAAAGTATCTCAATGTATATCACAAGCATTTATGGAATAATAAAACAAAGGTACCAAAGGGAACAGACACTGTTCAGCCCCCAAGATTTACTTTTTGAGAAATAAATCCCAAGAGATAGGCATGTCTTGTTTTATTTCAATTTTCAACAGAAAATGTCAAAAAGTGAAATATAATTCCGAAATAAAATAAAACAAAATGATAAAATTCAACGTTCTCATGGATCCAAGTAGGTACTATCCCTATTTTCTGTGGCACATAAAATAATACTGACAAGCCAGATCTAGAATGTGAAGTGGAACATGGATGTCTGCAGGGATGGAGGGGTGAGGGGGAAGTGCACAAAGGTGGCAGTGCAGGTACAGGACATCCGCAGCAGCCCCTGACAGATGAGCACAGTCTGACCTTATACTCCCTAGGTGTCCTACTGACTTCCACGGGATGGAAGAGTTAACTGCCTGAACATACCTCTGCAGAACTGACATCTAGGACAGAAAATAATTCCTATAAATTAATTATTACTGTATATTGAAAAAAAAAAAAAAAAAGACTACCATCAGTACAGAAATAGCAAATGGCAAAACAAAAATAGCCTATAACATAACTGCAAAAAGAAAGGAATCAAAACTGGGTTGGTTTTCTGTACCATGTTATCAGCTGCATTAATCAATAATTAAGTATGCTATTTCTAATTATACTTGAAATCCCAAAATGTCCTACTCCCTGAAAGCCACTGCCCAAAAATTAAGACCTATTTTACTACTGAAGTTTTCTGTCCAGCTTTTATTTGCCATTCCAAGCCAAAAGCAAGGGAAAAAAACCCGTTTCTTGGCAATATTTGGAATAGACCATAAAAGGGAAACAAAAATAAAACTGTCCTACTCTAATAACAACTGAGCAAACATGCACAGACTTTAAGTAACTACACTTCATTACCAACTCCATTAATTACTACAGTTTCTTAGCAGCAAAATAAAGTTTTAAAAAATTAACTAATCCTGGTTTTGCTTAATAAAAAGATGGATAAAAATTATTCATTTATAGAATGGTAAAATTCCTGAGCCATAACACATCTTCCTCTTCGAATGACTTACATACTCACACACCAAAACCTGGAGGACTTACATAGTTCTGACCTAAAACCTGAAACGAAAGTGAATGAAAGGGAGTAATACTCAAACCACCAGCAGCCAGTGCAGCCCCCAAAATATCTTGCCCTCTACCCTCCCAGCAGGAACGATGCCCCGAGCGCAGGCAGCTCTGGGCTGTGACCGCTGGGTTCAGAGCACAGCTCTGGGCCAAGTTTCCAGAACTGCTGCACTGCCTGCACTCCTGGGCTGGAAAAGCACCCAGCAGAACTACAGCAAGTACAGACAGTAGAGTGAAAAGAGCGGGGGGAACGCCACAGCAATTCCACGAAACTTGTAATTTCACAGCACTTCTAAAGAAGCCACTCCATCTCAATTCGCCGTTTTCCGTCACCCTCGCGAGCTGCAAACTAACCCTGCGCGGCCTTCAGCCCACGCCGTGGGGAGGACAACGAACTGACACGCGCCGGTGGCACGGCCGGGGCCCGGGCACTCGGAACTGCCCACAGCCCGGCGCGGGACGCGCGGGCCGGCGCAGCGGGGACGCCGCGGGGACAGACACGTGCCCGGGGCAGTCTCGAGGAGCGGGCGTGCCCCGCGGGAGCCCCGGAACCCCCGGGCGCCTTCCCGGGACCCGCGGTCACCCCGGGCTCAGAGCGGGAGAAAGCAGGAGGGAGCAGGGGAGAGAGAGCAGGGGAGAGGGAGCAGGGGAGAGGGAGAAGGGGAGAACCAGGACAGAGCAGGCCGCGCCGCCCGCGCCTCGCCGCCCTGCCGCTACCGGGCCCCGCCGCCGCGGCAGTGGGCCGCGGGCCGTGCTCCCCGAGCGCAACGGAGCGGGCCACGGGCCGTGCCTCCCGCGCCGAACGGAGCGGGCCGCGGGCCGCGCCCCCCGAGCGGAACGGAGCGGGCGCGGGCCGTGTCCCGGGCGCAGCGGCCTCACCTTCCCGGCGGGTTTCTGCGAGCCGCCGGGCGCCTTGTCCGCCATCTTGCCTCTCCCCTCGCCCAGCCCTGGCGGCGGCCGAGCGAGCGCCGATCCCACCGAGCCCGCGAGCGGAGGGCGCGAAGCCGATGGCCGAGCCGCCGATGGCAGGCGCAGGCAGAGCAGGAATGGAGCGGACGGCGCTCGGAACAGCTCGTTGAGAAAACCCCTTCAATACTGAAAAGGCTAACACAGTAAATCCTTCCTTACTGGGTTTGATATCGCACTACAATGCCAACTGTATTGAAGGCTGTCTAACGGGGGATTATAACCAGCCGTCACATTTACCATGAGTCTCGAATCCCCGTGCTTTCATGGATTTTCAGAGTGGAATATGCAGGGGCTGAGATAATACTTAAGAAAAGACAAGGAGATACAGAGAAATTAATGAAAGCTTTAATCCAGCACCTGCCGACACGCAGCGCCCTGTGAGCGGCAGGAGGGAGCAGGGCCTGGGCTAGCAACCACCCGGGACAGCGCAGAATTAAGGGTCCAGAAGGGAGGGGGAAAAAGTAAAAGGAGAGGTTAAAGAGGGCAGAGGCAACTGCAGAGGGCTGGAAGTTTATAGGGGAGAGCAAAGCTCTCAGGAAACCTCACCGGCGGCAGGTGTGCGTCCAAGTGTGCGGGGACATGGTGTGGTGTGGGCGGAGCAGCGGCTCGCCGTGTCAGGGTGCCGGCTCAGCTGCGGGCACCTCCATGGCAGCCGCCCCCGCGTGTCACCGGCAGCGGGCGGGCGGGTCCGGCCGGGCACGGCACGGCGGCAGCGAGGCCGGGGGCGGCCCGGAGAGCGGCGGGGCAGCGTCCCTCGAGGCGGGGGCGCGGGCAGCCGGGAGCGCCAGCAGCAGCTCCTGCCGCAGGCGCCGCCAGGGGGCAGGCGCGGCCCGCGCCGCGCAAGGAGACTGCGCCCGCAGCCGCACCAAAATGGCAGAATACAAAACAGCCCCGCCGTCCCTGAGGCACGGGCCGCAGCGGGCCGGGCGGTGCTGCGTTCCTCCGGTGCTGCAGCCGGCCCCGCCCGCCGCAGCAGCACGGGCAGCGGGAGCTCCCGCGGGCCCCGGGGACGCCGTGCCCCCGGCGCAGCCCCGCCGCCTGCAGGAGCCTGCACGGCCTCGTGGTACCCCTGAGCGGGAATCGCTGCGGCTTGCAAGCAAGGAAGGAGCGGGAAATAAAACGCACGCATTGACAGGCACAGCTCCACCAGTCTTTTTAGGATATTTTGAGCCCCAAACGTTCCCCTAGAGGAGTCCTTGCACATGAATGGCATTGGTCAAGGAGCATTACGGAGGGATTAGGCAGGATTTACTGCTTCAGAATCCATGCCAAGCCATTCTCTTCTCCCATCTTTCTCCATGTTTACTTGAAACTATTTCACTGCCTCGCAGAGACACAGGATTAGTATAATCTGTGACCTGCTTTTGGGATGGTTTTGGACATGTTAGTGCAAACAGGTGCAGCAATGCGTTGAAAGCAAAGCAGCTGGGTAACTTCGGGCCACAGGAGTAGACACTAGATGATGCTCAACTCTCCTGGCACCATATTAATAAACCTGGCATGAAAGATGACTGACACTTCTGAATAAGAAACAGACATCTAGCTGGAAAGAGGAATGTGCCTTTGGATGATAAGAGTTTTGGGGCCAATCATGTTTAGAAAATTTATGCTCCATTTGGCCTCAATCCCTTTATTTTATCCACCTCATTAATCCATTTTAATTATCCACTTCATTGTTCAAATCCTCTGGTTACTTCTTAGCTTCTATGCTCTTTTGTAAATAACAAACTGCACCAAATTAAGAGCATCACAATCCAGAGCATGCTGTGAAAAACAGGAAAGAAATAGTTAGAGTTTGAAAGGTCATCTCTAAAGATAAGTTTTCAGAATGAACTGTACTCCCCAATCTGTGCTATTTATAACACATTGCGATAGTACAGTAGCACTTGTGTACAGTTAGTGAATGAGCACATGTCACTGTTTTGAGCTTAATGGGAGAGCAAGGGCAGGAAGGGGAGTGGGAAGGAAAGAAAACAGTGAAATTCATAAATCCATGGAGAATTAATGCTGGAAAGAGTAGGCTAATAATAACAACAATATTTAAAAGCAAATTGTAGGCATTTTTCATTATAATGTAGGTCTGGTTGCCTGCAGACCTGGGAATTGTTTATTAACTGTTGTTACAAGGACAAGTATCATTAGGCAATATACTTTGGAAAATCATGAATTATCATAAATAATTAACACTAAACTACATTAAGTAAACCACATGCTGCAATGTGTTACACTTGTCTTTCTGGCTGCTTTTTTCCCCAACTTTCAGATGAAAGCTCTCTACTGCTCTCACTCCAGACCAGGGCACAGAACTGCTGCAATTCAGCAAATGTGGGTGTGAGGGAATGGAAGGATTTAGGGTGCTGTGGAAGTTCCCTACCCTGTGGCAAAGGAAGCACGTTCGAGGACATGAGGCAGGCAGATTGTGAGTAGGACAGGAGTGTAGCTGCTGGGTGTACGGGTTTGTTACTCTGTAGTTTCACACTTTCCTGTGTAGTTTCACAAAGGGGCTCACGGATCACTAAAGCCGCCGGCTGTGTGTGTGTTCCCCAGTGCTCAGGCAGCACTCTTCCAGCAGCAGTCTTCCAGCTTCTTCCCTTATTCCGCCCTCCACCTCCTCCCACCCAGAGACTGAAAACCGCCAGCGAGGATTCTCAGAATCGGCAGCTGCAGCTCCCCCGTGCACTCGCGGGTTGCCAGGGAGCGCTGGGAGCGCAGCGCCGAGCCGGGAGCCGAGAGCCGGGAGCCGAGAGCCGAGAGCCGGGAGCCGAGAGCCGGGAGCCGAGAGCCGGGAGCCGAGAGCCGGGAGCCGAGAGCCGAGAGACGGGAGCCGGGAGCCGGGAGCCGAGAGACGAGAGCCGAGAGCCGAGAAACGAGAGCCGGGAGCCGGGAGCCGGGAGCCGAGAGCCGAGAGCCGAGAGCCGGGAGCCGAGAGACGAGAGACGAGAGCCGAGAGACGAGAGCCGAGGCGGGCGGCACAGCTGGGGCACAGACAGCCTGGGCTCCGTGAGATGCTTTAGCAGGGACCACCGGAATAACGAAAAAGAGCTAGAGGGGCTGTCTGGGAGAGGGCAATTTGTCTCTCAGCAAGTCTGGACTTGCTGCCACTGCTCTGTCTGCTCTCTGTCCCCCGGCAGGAGCCATCTCCGTGTTACTCCATCTCTCAGTGCTGGTGCTTTACCTTCCCTAAGCTGTGACTCCTACTCTGCTCCTGCCATTCAGCAGCTGCTCTCCCTTCCAGGACCCCACTGCTCTCTCCTGGGACGCGTTTTATCAGGGAACCTGGGTTCTTTCTCCCCCTGGGATTCCTCAAGCAATGAGGCGCATTACGCAAACCAGTCACAGGGGCAACATCTGACTTGCGCTGTCTGCCTGAGAAGGGTCGGTCATTTGCAGTGTAGTTTGCAGGCATTAGTGCAAGTATCAAATGAAGGCTTAATTTCAAAAGTTCTCCTACAACCTCTTGTCAGAGAGAATTAACCTACGTGGCTAGAATCCAGATGTGCACATCCATGTTTTGAAAGCATGGAAGTTCAAGATGAGTGCAATGCCAGTCATTCCTTCGCCATACTGAGAGTCCCTATCCTGTCAGGTTACTAACAGTGAGTAGCAATTTGTGCTCTGCAAAACACTCCCACTCTGCACACACAAACAAAACAATTTCTTAGTTATGTACTTTATAAGTGAGGGTTCAGTTCTGCAACCCTTGCAAAGGACAAGCTGTACTTCGCTCTTACCACGAGCCCCTGGAATCTGGGACAGTAGTGGATTTTGGCCATGGAAAACATGAAATATACACCCACCCAATACATTATTCTTTATCACAGTGAAACCAATTTCCCAGCAATACTTATGCTCAGATTTGCTGCTGTCAAAAAAAAGGCAAGTTTTACCTCAGATCATTCAAAACCAGGAATTCTAAAAAGGCAACAACCAAACTTCCAGAGAAATTTTCTTAAAATGTGAAGTATTTTACCCAGTTTGTTGTGTTTGGTATTTTTTCAGATGGGTTCCATTGCTTATTTTTAAAGCATAAAGGATACAAACCTGAAGATATTCAACTTCAAGGTAAAGAGGGCAGAAAATTAGAAGCTCCTGATCACTGAGACATTAAAATGAACATTGCTGTGCAACTATGATGGTGTTGGTTACTGTTATTTCCTTTTACAACATACACCTTTTCTCTCCTGCAGGTGAGGCTTTAAAATATAGGTATCACTCCTACTTGTCTTTATCTATCAAGCTATTATCTTTATAAAGTATAATTGATCCTAGTTACTTAGTCAAGAAGGAGAAAGTGACGCAAGGTTTCCTGTTTATCCAGTCTTACAAAGACAGTGGAGTAGAATCTCTAAAGGCAAGTTAATTGCTTCAGTATTAGACCAAAACACAGTGTCTACTCAATTATTACAAAGTATTGTAATCACTACAGTAAAAATTTACCCATCAAACCATTATTTGCAAGAGATTGATACACGCTCAAGAAAGGATAGGGGGAAAAAAAAATACAACACAGAACAAAAGGACCATTTTTCTATCTCTTCAGATGTATTTCCTCACATGTTTGCAACCATGAGGTACAGCAAAGTTAGATGAAGCTAAAGCTTCCCTTTCTTTAATAGCTATTATTTTTAAATAGAGCCAAATTCTACCCTCTCTCTTGTTTAGTGGGGTTCCATGGAAGATGTCACAACAGAGTTACTAAAAAGATTTCCATGCAGGAAAAAAATCCAGAGGAAACAAAGACAGTAGATGTTTTCACTCGGATAAAACTTCTCACTGAGAAAGAAATCATCAAAATCTATCTTAGAAGTGAATATACAAAAAGAAAAAAGGTATTATACAGATGGAATTGTATGGTAGAGGATTAAGTCAAGCAGGTGCTACTAAGACTGATATTTGCCAGAGTGAGCTGAATTGGGTGATGCTAAAGGTTTATCTTCAAAAGCATCTTAAATCTTCCAAACATCATCACTGCATATTCACATTAGGACTTTCTCTCTTTTTAAGTTTTTTTAAATTAGTTTTTTTATTCAAAAAAAGCTATGTATAGTAGGAGGGCTATGTACAACCTCTTCCCTAGTGTGCTGAGTATGTTTGAGTGCAAAACATGCATTTAGCTTTTATTTTTTCATTTTCTAACTGAAAGGCATAATTTCACTCAGTAGGGTTGAAGTAATTTAGAATATTTTTTAGGGCTTTTGATATTTCAGACAAAATAACACCTCTGAAATGACTTCACCATTTAATAAAACAAAAGTATAATGCAGAAACAAACTCCCATTTGGTATTTCAGCACATCTTTTCCTTTGAGTCTTCATCCACCACTGATTAACATTAGCTTCCATTACTTACCTCATTAGGCAGTACCTTCATCAGTGTTTTAAGAGTCTTCTAAAAGGTTATTTGGAGATAAAGCCTGTAGAAAATTCTACACATGGTAGGATTAACCACGGTATATTCTGACCATGCCCTTCTAAATATGCCCTTCTAAATATAAACTCTGGTTAGAGAAATGGAGAGGCTCTTCATGCACTATATTACGTGGACTCCTCTCTGTGACCTCCAGATGTCCTGATTCTCCCTGGCTTACCACATAATAGTCATGTAATACTAACTTTGATGGACTACATATGAATAAGAGGCTATTTTGAGGTTGTAAGTGCTTCAAATTGTAAGGTTCCCTGCACTCTATCCCACAGCTGGCTTGGGAGGAGAATACTCAACTCACTGTAATATGTATGCAGTAGTCTTTATGAAAGCCCAGGCTGTCCTCAGAGATCATTCTCCCTGTGAGGAGCCTGCCTTGGAAGTAAGCAAAAGACTTAGATCATTAGCAATGAGTTCCATAAATGTGGCTGCTAAAGCATGAGTGTGTACCTCCACCAACAACCAGACAGTCCAGCGTCCAGCAGAACTGTCAGTCTTGAGTCACAAGCAAACCCCTCCTGCTCCTCCCAGCCTGGGCTGCCCCAGTGGGCCACAAACCCAGTGGGCATCTCTCCCAGGCAGCCAGGCCATACCCCGGAGTTCCCTGAGGCACGAGGCCTGAAAGCCTCCCAAATCCCTGAACGTCAGGAGGCTGCAGGAAAGTCAGAACGTGTCGAACGAGCCCTGCTGCCGCTGCAAGGCCAGCAGGTCCCAATCAGCAGCGGATGCTGTCCTTCTCTAGACACCATCTGTTGCAACAGCTGCTGGTGGCTTTCCAACAGCTTCTTTAGTGCAGGTCTAAAACCTGATTGCATTCAGTCAACCACCCCTTCTTATCTAACCTCGATGAGAGAGACTGAAGATCACGGTCACTTTGGCCCTCTACTGTAGGGCATGCAGTGGCATTGACCACCACAAATGGCAATCTCACTGCCAAATGGGACTGAGACACAGGATCACCACAGCCCTGCTGGGAGCACCTGCATGTGTGGTGTGCTGGGAGCAGGGCAGGGCCAGGTGTTCTTTAGCAAACAGCCCCCTCCCCACCGCCTGCCTCTGCAGGCATGCAGCACCCAGTCCAGCATCTGGCCTGTCCCCTCTTCACTGTGGCCTCTCAAGTGAAGAACAGCACCATGAGAAGCCTGACCTCTACCAGAGGCTGAGCAGTTTCCAGTAACCCCCAAAAGCCTTTCCTCTCCCTAAATCCCATGCTGCAGACCCACGAGGAGCAGGGCCCTGCTCACTCCTGAGGCTCCCTGCAGGCAGAGCTCTGTCAGTCACTCCCGGAGGAGTGTCCACTTGCTGTGACCCTGCACTCCAGCACGCACCCCCTCTAAAATACATGGATATTGGGGCATATTAGGCCTGCTAGCTGAAAAATGTCTTTTGTTTAATATTTTGCTCTTCATTTTGGCTTCTCAGCACTGTTCAGTTATGTTTATTTTCTTAGCAGGTCTCCTGTGTAATTTTTATAAAGATTATAAACAGTGTCACCAGTCTGCCCTACTTTTTAATGAAAAATGCATTTAAAATCACTTTCAGTAACACACTTTTAAGACTTTCTTTCTGCTAATATAAAAAAACTTATTTCTGATTACCCCCTTGTTCAGAAGATTTTTCACATTGTCCTCATTCACTACCAAATAGACGCTTATAATCAAAATCTTTGAACAAAATGTTTTAATTACACTTGACTTCAGTTTATACCATGTGACCATGCATGTATCTGAATATCAACATGTAAAATGTACTTTTGGCAACCAAGAGCTAGTGGATGTTGAAGACCATCTGAAACAAACAAAAAGGAAACACGTTGAAGCAGCAGAGAGCAATCCCTTAGTCGGGTTCCTACCTGTACCTGCATAAGTGACTTACCTTCTATTTCCTTCAGATGCCTTTAGGAACAGTAACACCCTTACAGCGCTTTCCCCCGTATTTTTATATTCTGATTATGTAACTGTGCTGCTTGCATAACCGCGACGACAATAAGTGTAGGATTTGTCTAAGGATCAACACGGAGCAGCTCCTGCCCGCCGTTCCCGAGTGTCCCTCCCAGCCGCCCCGCTCGGAGCGCGCAGACAAGGTGGGTGCCGTGCGTGCCAGTGACGCTCACCCATGCAGCCTGGCCGGGAAAGTTTAGCCTAAAATAACGTTTGCATTCACCGCATGAGATAATGCCACCAAAGAAATCAGGTCTCAGCGGCCTTACCGAAGCACACAGGACAGACCGCCACCAGCTGCCACCCGTCCCTTGTCTAGGGGTGTCTGTCGGGTCTGCGGCGCCCCGGGCTCCCCCAGCCCCGCGGGGCCGTCTCCCTTTTCCCGGGGCTCCCGCCCGGCTCCTGCCGCACGCGCGGGCGCAGCCGCGCTCGGGGCTGGGCGGGCGCCCCGGTGCCCCCTTTGTGCTTCCTCACAGCAGCAGAGCCCCGCGGGCGGGCCCCGCACCGAGCAGCGCCGGTGCCAGCTGACCCTGCGCCCGGGAAGGGGCGCCGCGGCTGCGGTCCGGCCACACGCCGCGCCGCGGGGGCTCCCACGGACCCGCCCCCCCGCTGCGGCCGCATCAATCATTAACGGCGGCTCGGGTGTCCAGCGCCTCCCACCCCGGGAAACCCTACCCGGGGCGGCGGGGGCGTCTCTTCCCGCTCCTCGGGAGCGCTGGATGCGCCGCCGGTTTCCAGTTACCGCGATGCCGGGCGGCGGGGCGGGAGGAGTCGCGGCGGTGCTGCCACTGCCCCTGCTGCAATGAGTGATGCTGCCGGGGGCGGCGGCGGGGGCGGACAGGCGCAGAGCTACCGCGGATCCTCCGCCGGCGGCTGCGGGCGCAGCGGCTCTGCCTCGCCCGGTCGGCGGCGAGGCGGCGGGCCCGGGGCCGGCCGGGGCAGCGGCAGCATGCCGGCGGGCGATGGGGACAAGAAGGAGGCGGCGCCGCCGCCGCCTCGCCCTGCCGCCCTGCTGCGGTGGGACGAGGTGCCCGAGGACTTCGTGGAGTGCTTCATCCTCTCGGGCTACCGGCGGCTGCACTGCTCGGCACAGGAGTGCCTGGCCTCGGTGCTGCAGCCCACCAACGAGACCCTCAACTTCTGGACCCACTTCATCCCACTGCTGCTCTTCCTCAGCCGCTTCGGGCGGCTGCTTCTGCTGCGGGGCGCCGGGGACGTGCCCTTCCACCACCCGGCCCTGCTGCCCCTCTGGTGCTACGCCTCGGGGGTGCTGCTCACCTTCGCCATGAGCTGCACGGCCCACCTCTTCAGCTGCCTCTCCCCGCGCCTCCGCGCCACCTTCTTCTACCTGGACTACGCCTCCATCAGCTACTACGGCTTCGCCAGCACCGTGGCCTACTCCTACTACCTGCTGCCAGGGCTGAGCCTGCTGGACGCCGGCGCCATGAGCCGCTACGTGCAGCAGCGGCTGGGCTGGCAGCTGGACTGCAGCCTGCCCATCGCGGCCTACCGCGTGCTCGTGCTGCCCGTGGCGCTGGCGCTGGCCGTGGGCTGCACGGCCGCCTGCTGCCGCAGCCGCGCCGCCTGCTGCGCCTACCCCTTCGCCGTGCGCACCTTCGTGTTCGCCATGCCGCTCAGCATGGCCTGCCCCATCATGCTGGAGAGCCTCCTCTTCGACCTCCGCGCTCGCAACCCCACGCTCTTCGTCTACTTCTACCGCCGCTACTTCTGGCTGCTGGTGGCCGCCTTCTTCAACGTCAGCAAAATCCCCGAGCGGATCCAGCCGGGGCTCTTCGACATCGTGGGGCACAGCCATCAGCTTTTCCACATCTTCACCTTCCTCAGCATCTACGACCAGGTGCACTACGTGGAGGATGGGCTGGCTGAGTTTCTCAAGGCACCCCTGGCTGCCCCCACCTACCTAGGCACCGTGGGGTACATGCTGCTCCTGACCGTCTGCCTCGCTGTGGTCGTCAGGAGGTTCCTCAACGTTGCAGACCTCTGCAAGCAGGACTGACCAGGCCGGCGACCCTCGGGACAGCGACCACCAGTGCCAGGGACCCTTGGCCTGGAGGTGCTTGGGCCGATGACCTTCAGACTGGTGGCCCTCAGACCAGACCCACCATGTCCTGAAGAAGCTGTGAGAAACCCACCTGTGGAAGAGCCAGGTCCCTTTCATGGAGGTTCGATGGAGAAAATGACCATGGCAGAACTGCTCGTGCTCTTTAAACTACTAGGTTACCAGGGGAAGCAAGCAAATGCTTACTGGTATGTTGCTGCTTAGAGTATAAGCTGAAATAATTTAGCTCTGCTACTAGGAAGAATGCATGAATGGTGAATGCCACTTACTAATTTCATAACAATTATGTCTAATCTAGCTTTGTGTATGTATATATATATATTTATATATCTAGCTATATATTTATTAGCTACATATATGTGTATATATATGTATACACCTGAAGACATTTGTGCAATGATTTCTCATAGACTTTTAATCAACTCCTATGTGAAATTTCCTAGCAGATTATGCACTGACATTTATCTTCCTCTCTGATATTGTATCAGGCCTTTGCAGCCACATACTGGATTTTAAATGCAAGCAAATCGATAGCTATCTATAGTTTCTAAGCTCTTGCAGCCTTTTCAGCCAGGGAACAATAGATTTAGGAGAGAGAGCTGTGAACGATTACAGAATTACCAGTTAATGGAGCGACTTTAATTAGCCAGTGTGTAGTTGGTGTAGCCACTCGGATACTAAAATAAAATAGAAGGATATGTAAAGTAATCAAACCAGAAAGGGGTCAAACTGGTTTGGAATGGGGGCAGAGGAAGAAGGACATTGCATAATGGAATGGCTCTTCCCTCAGCATGTCAGGAACATCTGTTGTGCTGAGGGAGTTGCTAAGGGGCCCCTTTATCTTCCTGGGTAAATCACCCCCAAACCAGTCCTCTCGAGTCAAAGTCAGATGCCAGACTTTCTATAAACCCCTGCCAAGCTCGGTGGGAGTTCTGTGGATGTGAAGAGTAACTGATGCATGAGATCTCATTCTGGATCTTTTAAAAAACTACATAGAACTAATTTCTACTGCTCTTTAATTAGAGCACTGTCATATTTACTATCCTAAAATTAGTTGCAGAATACAGTACTGCTGAATCTGAGCTCAGCACCTAAAATCTGGCTCTACAAAGTACTGGATACTGGCACTTTTTTGTCATTCCCCACTTTTTCCTATTCTGATTAGTTGTGGTTCAGCTGGATGTGTTGAAGTCCTCTTTCAGAAGCTTTGGGGGAGCTCAAAGACAAGAATTAGGAAGTGTTTTCCAAAGTAGTATCTTTTCAGAGCAACCCATATATTATCCTTTTCAAACAACGAAGAGCTAAGTGTAGTCTGAGTTTACTCTCTAGATACATTTTTGTAAACCATGTGCAGATTTTAAGCAGATAAATTTTGCTTTCGTCTGACAGAACAAGTGCAATAATGTTACACAAGGGACTTACCAGTCGAAGTTCAGGTGAGAAATTACTTGTGTAACCCTTTGTTAAAAGAAGGGTGGTACTTCCTTAGCAAATCCTTGTATCACACTGCGTAATAGTGTAGTAGCTGTTTTACTCAGCTCCTATTGTAGAAGTGTATTTCTGCTTGAGTCTCCCATTTTCATGGACATAGCATCTGAATCCCAAGACAATGTTTGAGTCCAGTCCTAATCTGTAAGAAAGTGGCCTTTGTTTAAAATGGGAATATAAGAAAGACTGTAGCCAGGGATTGTAAAGTCAAATCCTTAACATGGGTCAGAGTCATCACAGACCCAATAACTGATATGCCCTCTACCAATGTAACAACTTCAAGAAAATTTCTCAACTGAAGTGCATAAGCTAAAAGAAAATTAAACCCCCTCAATTTAGCTTTTATCTCAACCCATTTTAAGTATAATGGGTTTAATATTTTAGATTCTTTGTGAATGATGAAAATGGACTAACAAAAATATATACTCTTTGCCAGCCACAGTTCTGCTGGTATGTCATTTCTGGAAGGGTCAGATGTCTTTTAAGGAGATAGACTATAATTATCTGAAGTAGCAGTTCCCAAGCTGTGGGCTCTTGAGTTACTGCTGTTGGGCCATAAAAAAAACTGCATGGCCCTGTGTGAGTGGCTGTGTTCAGTTTTCATTTGCCAACCTGCATGAAAAGAAAATGAAAACTACATTAAGTATTTTAAATTTCACCTATTTTCACTAAGTTTTGTCATAAACGTAGCATTGCTTTCTTCAGCTGTCAACAAAGCAGAAAATCATCTGCACCACTGGGAGAGGTGGCTGGTTCACAACAAGGTTATTTCTTGAAATGTGCTTTAATGTTGTGAAACCCTTGAAAACTCACAACAGAAAGCCAGTGGATCAAGACCTGCAACCATGTCATGCTATGAATTTCCACAACTGCAAAAAGAGGCCAAAAATCTTTGAGATGGGCTGTATTCAAATTAAAATAATAGAGGCATAGTAGTTAGAGCCCAATGACTCATCCAAACTAATTATGTAGAAAGGGTTTGCCTGGGAGATGCCACTAGCTCATCCAACTAGCAATTAAAAACTAAGAAATAAATCTTGGGGACATCAAGCCTCAGCACTAGAAGGCAGCTCAGAAACAAACAGTGAAAGTCAAATGTAAAAGACCAGGCTTTTAAAGCATACTGTATAATGAATTATATTTGTGCTTGTCAGTCACAATGTAAAGGACATCTCAAGAGGCGATGTCAAAAATGGCTGTTGCTAACTTGTATAAATACATTTGATATTTGGAGTTAGGCCACACAGGGTCATCTATATATATCTCAACGACAGATAACAGTATGAAGTTTGGATTGCAACCAACTGCAATTTTACTGGAATCTTACTGCTGTTACAAGAGTTGCCGGTGAGCCCCAGTCACACTGAAGATTGGGTACCTGGCTCTGATATTAATAATATTGCTTCATTCAGAAGTTTCTGTGGGTGAATTGTTTAGGCCCATGCCTGAGCACCTCATGGAATTATTTGTAAAGGCTAGTTGCAAGCACTGCTGTCTGAGCCACTGTAAGCAGGCTGCTGAATCCAGAATGAATGGCTACAGGGAGATGTGATTAGAATTTAAGAGTTCTAATTCATGGATTTTTGTTTGTCTGTTTTTTATTTAAAAAAATGCGACTACAAATTAAAGAGGTACAGTAAGTGTGGAGAATATCTAGGGAAATGTTACCTGAGTGCCTAAGTGTCTGTGTCTATTCAGTGAAGGACATGTGTGCAGATAATAGTTCCATTTGCTGTGTCTGATGGACGGAACTAAGATGAGATAAAAATATTAAAATTGGAACAAGATATCTATAATTATAGTGCTTGAATTTGCTCACATAGAAGTGAGTCAGCATTTGTGTGACTTGTAAGGGTGCAGGATAACTTTCTGGTGTGAAAGCACATGGCTGAAGAACGCGTGTAAGCATGTCCAGAGCTCAGACAAGAGCTCTAACCTGCAGACTAGATGCATAAGGAAATCCTAGAAAACTAACATGCTTGCAGAAGTACATGTCATAATGTTTTTATAACCTGCC